CTGAGTCTGAGTAACAAAGGATCTACCCTAGCAAACCTTTTGTATTGTTATCCCAATACCCCCATGCTCAATATATGGGATATATTGAGCATGGTGATCAGCTCATGATATGAATAAACATAACAGTTTAAATAATGTACCAGTAAGGTCTTCTCGTGGACCACCCTGAGAATTTGGGGGGGAGCTGAAGCCCCTTAAGCCCCCCCCCCCCCGCTACATGCCCATTGTAATTCAAGCCCCACTACTGCTACTGTTTTGACTCCTCTTCCACCATTTCTATCTCACCATTTCCCTAATCCAGAACTCAAGGCAGCTTATTTATTATTTATTTACAGTACTTATACCCCATTATTCTCACCCCAAAGGGGACTCAGGGCAGCTTACGGAGTACACACATATGACAAACATTCAATGCACACTTAACAAGGACAAACAAACATAAACATAGGTAAAGGCAGTTGCTCCCATCTCATTTCTGGCATCTTGGAGGCTGTGCTCGACTCTTCCATGCCGATGTCCTTAAGGTTGCCTTTATTATCTCCCCAGTAAAAGCGGTACCTGTGCTCGACTCTTCCATGCCGATGTCCTTAAGGTTGCCTTTATTATCTCCCCAGTAAAAGCGGTACCTGTTTATCGACTCGCATTTCAGTTTTTGACCTGCTAGATGGGCAGATGAGTTGGGGCTAACTGACCTTTCAATCAGCAGGATTTTTCTGCAGCACATGAATGACAGTGTGGACTACAGATCCAGCTAAGCAATTTACATCATACAAAAGTGTTAAATAAAATTCAATTATCAATAACATGAACTGCCATGAAAAGCATAAATATTAAAAGCAGCAACAAATGTGAGCAACACAGCATATGAAAGCCACTTTCCCCAGAGCAGTCAGCTTTCAAAGGCCTGCTGAAACAAAAAAAGGTCTTTGCCTGCCAATGGTGTTAAAGCCAGGAGGACTCCAGTCTAACCAGAGTTCCAGAGCTTGGGAGTAGTCGCCTGTGTTCCTATAAGATGTTCCTGTAAGGGCGATGAGACAGAGATATCACAGTACAAGCAGATTCATATTGGGAGATACAATCCTTCAGGTAATTGGGACCTCAGCCCTATCGGTCTTTGTACATCATAACTGCTATGTTGAATTTGCCTGAAAACAGTCTGGTCTTCAAGAGGAGTTGGCCAATTCCAGTTAGCAGTCTGGCTGCTGCTAAGATGAGAAGACTTTGGGCCCTTCCACACAGCCCTATAACCCAGAATATCAAGGCAGAAAATCCCACAATATTAGCTTGTTTGTCCTAGTTCTCGATCATGCATCTTGAGCAAATCCTGTGGATTATTGGGGGTGGGGTGGGGGGCTTGGTGTTCTTGTACAAAGGAAAGAAGTGCTAGCATCTCCTCATTCCTGAAGGTTGAAAACCATAACATCAGCTTTGTGTCTGAGAATGGGAGCATGCTTCTGAACGAGAGTGTTCAAAACAGAGGTAAAAATAATGATATCTCGTCTGGTTGACACTTTCAACAACTGCACCCTTGTACCTTGTGATAGCCACGTAAGAACTGAGCAGAATGGTTTTGAATTTTTTTCCAGTTTGCAATCCCATTCCCTCATGTTGCATTTTAAATAATCTATTCTGTCACAGGAATTCTGTAGCAGACACAATTTGTATGTGGGTGTTCCCCATATTTATTCTGTGAGGCAACCTGGTTCCCATAGCATTTACTGTGTGGAGGATCATATTTTAAAATGCAAAACACACATGTCTGTTGTAAGCGACTAGCACATCACTGGGAGTTGGGTTAGAATATTTCTCAGACAGTTTTCTGCATATTTTAACATGGAAAACCATTCTTAAAATGGGATTTTGCAGCATGTAATTCAGCTGGCAGCAGGTAGCATTTACAGATTGATCCATAATTAATAACACCCCATAGCTGCAGAAATACATTAATTTGTATATGCCACTCATTTTATTACTTTTTTTGTGTATCAGTGATATGCATGAAGCTTCAATGCAGTTTGTTCAAAATTTACTCTATTCAGAAGTATCCTCAAATTTTAATTCTGAATGTCCGCAATTAAAAACAAACTCTTGCTAATGTTTGAACTGAATAATTGATTAGTTGCTGCAATTTGCAAAGAGTTCTCCGGAAATCTATGTATTTACTATCTATGTATTTACTTAATCATCTTCCTCCTTCCATCTCATTCACTATATTTCCAAGGCTCACCCTCTGCTCTCCCCTGCATCCACCTTCTGGCTAGAAACAAGTACTGAAGATGAAATGTTCTTTATTCTGTGATCCTTGTGAATCCAATGACACTTTCTGGCAGGAGGGGGAACTTCCCTCCCTCCCCCTTCTCTATATATATACCACCCTCTGCCTCCAATAAACCTATATGTATATGTGTACAAAAGACAATAATTCTGATAAGGGGGAGAGAGAGAAATAAACTTCACAGAAACTCAGCAACTCAGAAACTCAGTTTCTGTCTCTGTGTCACCTTTCTTTATATGTTTATTACAGGATTTAATCCTAAACGTCTGTATGTGTCTCTTTGATGTATAACCCAATGCTGTGGTCAGTATGTAGCTTCCAACTTCTCCTCACAGGTTACATCAATGTAATCTCCAGCCGACTTTCAGAAATGTAACTTCAGTCCTGTAATTCAACACAAGACTTTATATCTCAGATGAAACAAAGTAATGTTTATTTATGAATTCTTGTGCACATAAAGCGTATTTGTTACACAGTATTTTACTTCAGTTCCACTCAGATATTATTACGTCTGTCTTTTGCTCTTGAGAATACATAAAAACGATATAATGTAATTTTCAGAACAGTTTAACTTATATCAACTTAGTTAGGGAACTTCAATTCACAATCAATAGTTTAATAGGTCTACTGAACTTGGGAAGAGCCTATAGAATCTGGGCCATTATATTTTAATTAACTGTATTTTATATTTTTTTTTTCACTTCAAAGTGATATTTTAAATATGTATAAGAACAAGTAAAATATGTGTGTGGTGATAACCTCTTTCATCCTTCATGTACTGCTGAACTGAAGGCCCGCAATGTCACATCCTTTGTCATATGATATCATATGTCTTGAGAGATCTATGGTTGCTGTTGAGGAAAATGGGGGACTATTACCAGGCATGCTATTGTTTTTCCCCTTTCACCAATAGCTGAGCACCATTGATTACATAGATTTTTCAGCGTGGAAAATTCTCAATATCCAACTAAAGCTATTTATGGAGATGCTTTCTCAATTGTGTGACGCCTCACATACTTTTCAGTGCAAATCAAGTTGTTGTTTGCCTTCAAGTAAATTCCAACTTATGGAGAGATAGGGCAGCTAAACCTACGCTGCCCTATCTCCCAGGATCTGAACCCAGATTATCTGGCAGTGTAGACTCATATAATCCAGTTCAAAGCAGATAATCTGATATTAGATCCTGGGATATAGGGTAGAGTAGAGGATTAGGGTTATAGGCTTTGGTAAACCTATAATGTAGTTTTCTTGGTAAGATTTACTCAGAGCAAGTTTGCCTTTGTTTCCCTCTCAGGCTGAGAGATTGTAACATATTGCCTAAGGTCATCCAGTGGGTTTCCAAGACCAAGTGGGTTTCCTGGCCAGTCATGGGACAGATCAGGGCATAGGGTGACTACCTGTGCTCGATAGGGTCGCACTCCCTCCGAGGACACAGGTCCGCAGCTTGGGGGTCCTTCTGGACTCCGCTTTGACACTACTGCTCAGGTGTCGGCAGTGGCTGGGAGGGCCTTTGCACAGTTAAAGCTCGTGCGCCAGCTGCACCCGTACCTTGTGAAATCTGATCTGGTCATCGTGGTCCATGCCCTAGTCACCTCTAGGTTGGATTACTGCAATGCGCTCTACGTAGGGTTGCCCTTGAAGACAACCTGGAAACTACAGTTGGTCCAGAGATCTGCAGCCAGACTACTCACGGGAGCTGGTTACAGAGAGTAGTCAACCCTCCTGTTTAAACAGCTCCACTGGCTTCCAATAAGTTTCCGGTCCCAATTCAAGGAGCAGGTCATCACCTATAAAGCCTTAAATGATTTGGGACCTGCTTATCTTCGCGATAGCATCTTCCCCTATGAACCAGTGTGTACCTTGAGATCTTCTGGGGAGGCACTGCTCTCTCTTCCCCCACCGTCACATGCACTGTTGGTGGGGACGAGGGAGGAGAGAGCCTTCTCGGTGGTGGCCCCCCGGCTCTGGAATACCCTCCCTAGGGAGACCAGACAGGCTCCCACCTTGTCCTCCTTTCGTAGTCAACTAAAAACCTGGATGTTCCGGTGTGCTTTTGACTTAGCAGCTCACCAGTAATTTTCTTGTCCCTACTTGAAGTTCCGCACTTTACACTGGCTCACACTTTACACTGGCATACGTTTTACCTCAATAGGTATTATGACAGTATTTCCTGCCCAGTTTATCATATTGTTGCACTTTCCTGTGCTCCTGTAAAAATGTATTGCACTCATTGAATCTGTACCTCAGCTATGTTTCTTTCAGCCGTATTGTTTTTATATTGCTTTCTATTGTGTTGTTATTTGTTTTATCTGATGTTTTAATTGGTTAAAGTGTTTTACTTGTGTCTTTTAATTGTAATCTTGGGAGTATCCCTTGTAAGCTGTCCCGAGTCCCCTAGGGGAGATGGTTGGTGGGGTATAATAATAAAATTATTATTATTATTATTATTATTATTATTATTATTATTATTATTATTAGTGAAGATTTGAACTCTGGTTTCAAGAATTGTAGTCCAATGATCAAACCATGACTTTAAAAACCCACAACCCAATGTAAAATTTGCTAACTGTACCCATTTGTGTTTTCAGCAGTGATTTTGGAACTGACTTGACTTTTTTTCCAAGGGACATTAGGGACAAACTGGCAACTGATCAAAGAAAGTAGTGTTCTTTCTTGAATACTTTGAGAGTACACTAGAGTACACTTCTTCCTTCTTGCCTTTCAGGTTAATTGGCACAGCATCAGTCGCGCTCAAGGAACTGGTAGGCCTGCAAAGCAGATCCCTTCCATTCAAGCAGATTCCCCTTCTAAATGAAAGAGGACTGGAAACCGGAGTGAGTCACCATTCCTGAAATTATTATGTTGGATACGTCCCATTCTGATGTATTTCAGCAACATATTTATGAAAAGGCTGCCATAAAGAATCAAAATATGAGTATAGGCAAGGCAAGAAAGCTAGAGAAGTAGGGAAGTGCTTTATTGAGTCAGTATTCTGGACAAACAAATAACTTTTAAAATTTTATTAATTATGCATGCATGTTTATTTATGCATGTTATGCAATTCTTATAACTTTTCATTTTTATATTTTATTATATTAATTATACATATTGCAAAGCTCAGATACCTTCTTTTGAAGGTGTACATTTATGGCAGCCATGCACCAAGAGTTACATTTTTTCTTTTCTTTCTTGGAGAAGCTTCTGCATATTATGTGATTGACATTGCATCCTTGCACAGGGGATGTTATAACATGACGACAACAAGCTACATTTAAAAAGAATTTCCTTTTACCCCACATTCTAGCCAAAGGTTTGCATGAGGTCTGGGATTTCTCACGTGTTTGCCCCCAATAAATTACTTCTCATTGGAGCTGGGAGATGGTATAACAGTGGCCCAAACTGGGTGGTGAAAGATGACCAGGACCAGCAGGTTATATGATCATTCCTGCCAGAAGTGGGCTTGGTCACAATTAAATTTTTAATTTTAAACACACTGGAAAAGGAATATAGATATGGATGCTCAGGGCCCTTCTACGCTGCCATGTAAAATCCAGATTATCTGCTTTGATTTGGATTATATGGCAGTGTGGACTCATAAAATCCAGTTCTAAGCAGTTAATGTGGATTATCTGCTTTGATAATCTGGACTATATGGCAGTGTAGAAGGGGCCTCACAGAACACTATAGTAGTGTATCAGCATTAGCGCATCTCTCAATAATAAGATGACTAATCACATTTAAGATGAAAATGCATGATGGGAAGAAAAAAGTGAAGGGGCCACTGCTAGATGGCCTCCAGTAGTGCAAATGAGAGTTTTCTAAAAGCAATCTCACATCAAGATGAGTTTGCTCAAGGGTCATATGCAACTGCTTAAGATAAATTCACTATGATGTGCATGTTGTGTGTGATTTTAATGATGCAAACCCTGGATTTATAGTGACCTGGAAACATATGTATATAATGCAAAAAATGATTTTTCCAGGTGTAGACAGACTCTCATGCCCCTTCTATATATGCCATATAAAATCCAGATAATCTGCTTTGAACTGGATTATATGTCAGTGTAGAAGGGGCCTGAGAGCCTTCTTAAGGGCCCCCGGTAGTGCAGTGGGTTAAACTGCTGAGTTTCTGAACTTGCTAATCGAAAGGTCGCAGGTTCGAATTCGGGGAGCGGTGTGAGCTCCCGCTGTTAGCCCCAGCTTCTGCCAATCTAGCAGTTTGACAAAATGCAAATGTGAGTAGACCAATAGGTACCTACGCTCCAGTGGGAAGGTAACGGTGTTCCATGCAATCATGCTGGCCACATGATCTTGGAGGTGTATATGGACAATGCTGTCTCTTCAGCTTAGAAATGGAGATTAGCACCAACCCTCAGAGTCGGACACGACTAGACTTAATGTCAGGGGAAAACTTTTACCTTTTCTAGAAGGGGCCTAAAACATAATTCTGAGTAAATGAATACAGGCTTCCTGGTTTATATAACTGTCCCTGTTGTTGGGAGGTACCAAACAGAAGCAATTGAGTACCAGTTATATATCAGCATGCTTGCTCATGACCAGCCTACTAAATGACAGCCCTACAATTACATTTCAATGCTAGATGCCTAACGGCTTTGTAACCTGGAGGAATTTATTTTTGGTATGGCATGAATCTTTTTGACTTTGTGTGTGTATGCATGCATGAGTTTTCCCACTGCAATAGGGTGGTGCAAGTTTCTTCCGTGGACCACAGTAACATTTTAGAATGTGGACAATGTTTGTGATTGTTTCTTTTCTTTTCCATTTAGGCAACAATTGATTTGGTGGTAGGATATGAGCCACCTGCTGGGCCTCCAAATCCAAATGACCCAGGGGGGACTGATATGGAAGGCACTGAAGGTATTCGCTTTTCGTAATCCTCCCTCTGTTTCCCAACCTATACTGTTTCTAAAAGACCAGCACATGGTTAGTAAGAATGATGATCTAAAGCAGTGTTTCTCAAACTGTGCTCCCCCAGTTATTTTGGACGTCAGCTCCCAGAAATCCCAGCCAGTTTACCATCTGTGGGAGCTGAAGTCCAAAACACCTGGAAGAACACAGTTTGGGAAACTCTGAGCCCTTCCACATAACCCTATATCCCAGAATATCAAGGCACAAAATCCCAGATTATCTGAGTATGGACTCAGATAACCCAGTCCAAAGCAGATATTGTGGGATTTTCAGACTTGATATTCTGGGATATAGGGCTGTGTGAAAGGGCCCTACCACACAGCCCTATATCCCAGAATATCAAGGCAGAAAATCCCACAATATCTGCTTTGATCTGGGTTAGGCCCCTTCCACACAGCTGAATAAAATCCCACATTTTCTGCTTTGAACTGGAATATATGATAGTGTGGACTCAGATAAAACAGATATTGTGGGATTATCTGCCTTGATATTCTGGGATATAGGGCTGTGTGGAAGGGCCCTCAGACAGGCCCTATATCCCAGGATCTGATCCCAGGTTTTCTGTTTATCCCAGTGGGGACTTATATAATCCACAGTTTAAAGCAGAAAACCCGGAATCACATCTTGTGACATAGGGGCTGTCTGGAAGAGCCCTGAGACTTGATCTATACTGCCCTATAGCCCAAGATCGGATCCCAGATTATCTTTTTTGAACTGGATTACTGTACATACTCGAGTATAAACCTAGTTTTTCGGCCCTTTTTTTAGAATGAAAAAGTCCCCCTCGGCTTATACTGGAGTCAGTGTTATTTATTATTTTGCTCTGTTATTATTATTATTATTATTATTATTATTATTATTATTATTATTATTTTGATTACATTCATTATTTTACTCTATTCATTATTACTATATTTATCATTTTACTCTATTATTATTATCACATTTATTATTTTTTTATTGTTATTATTACATTTATTATTTTACTCTCTTATTGGAAGGATATGTAAGCACATTTACATTGAAAAAGGTGAGAATAATGATTTAATCAGAGTTATCTTATATTAAAATCATATGTAAATATTCAAAAACATTTAATCTACTGATGCTCAATTAATGTAATTGTATTGGTATCTATGCTTATTTTGAAATTGACCAGTAGCTGCTGCATTTCCCACCCTCGGCTTATACTCAAGTCAGTATGTTTTCCCAGTTCTTTATGGTAAAAATAGGTGCCTCGGCTTATATTCGGGTCGGCTTATATTCAAGTATAAACAGTATATGTGTCTCTACTGCCAGATAATCTGGGATAGACACATAATTCTGGGATCTAGGGCAGTTTAGATCCAGCCTGAAGCTATATTCTGGTGGTTCTTCAGGGTCAAACAACGCAAGACATAATATAGGTGCAGATGTAGTTGCGTAAACCAGGACTTGCTATAATCTGTATGAAAGTGCAATATTAATTGAAGAAAGGTATGATTCAGCTGAAAAAAGATGAATCATTCTTCACTTCATGACATACCTCTTCTTCAAACACATTTTCGGAGTTTGACCATGGAGAAAATTGCCTTAAGGAAAAGAACTGTGCAAAGTGAAGGGGTGAGAGGCTATTTTGCTATTACAACTTGATACATGCACCTTGCTGCTCCTCCTTTTGTATATGACTGGGGTTTAAGCAAACAGATATGTCATGCATGTCATTTTGCCTTCAGAAAAATTGCCTAAAGGCTCGAAACACAGACAGTCACTTTCACCTCATGCCTCTATAAATCAAATACTTACCTGAAGATTATTGTTCTAGTCAGTTGACTTAGAGCCCCTCCTAAATGTTAGCTTTTTATGTCATGAAAACCGATTTGTTAGTTTACAGAAACCGTGCTGTGCAGTCAGCGATTATATGGCCTTGCCCTTAACTCCTAGGTGAGAAAGAAGGATCTTGTTGGTAAAGAAATACACTTGGAGGCCAGGGTGTAACTTTTCCCCCAAGCTACAAAAACCCGTTCTGCCAGTTTTCATCCAGGAACATCACCTTTAAGCCATAAATTGTATTGTTAGATGTGAATCAGCTGGGCTGTTGCGGTGTTGACCAGGTATACAGCAAGCTGCCAGCTGGGACCTGATCTGAAACAATTGAAACATTTGATTAAATTCCCAAAAGTCAGAATAATAATCATGCAAAATTTTCCATACCATTTGGTAGGAGGAAATTCAGGCTGTATCTACACTGTTGTATAATCCAGATTATCAAAGCAGATTTATATTTTTACTAGCTTGGGTACCCGGTGGTGCCCGAGTAATTTGAATAAAGCATTGATTGTTTTGGGGTGTTAGGTAATATCATTTAGTTAATTGATAACACTATTTGTTAGAAAAAGCCAGTCTTTGATTTTGTTTTTTTATGAATGCTCCCATTAGAAAATATATAACAATGTGGGTGAACTACAATTCCCAGATCCGCAGGTCAATCCTCCCCAAACCAGGCCTGTATACACAGTTGGCCATGTTGGATGTGTGCGCCAAGTTTGGTCCAGATCTGTTGTTGGTCCCCCAAACCTCTCCAGCCTGTTTAATGGCTGATCAATTCTTCTAGAAAGGGTAGGAAAGGGTTAAGAGAGATGCAGTGGGTTGGGTTATGCAAATTCCACACAAGGAACACTGGGGTGCCTGCCTGTGGTGGAGAAAACATGTCAAATCTAGGTTGAAATTTCCCCAAGTGAAAGTATTCTTTGGGTGCTGGGCCATAGTGTTTGGCGAGGCCATTGGCAGGGTTTGGGCTACATGTCCATGATGCTCGCTATAACCAGAAATGTCAGTTGAGGGAGTGCCTTTGGAGGCTTCTGAGCACTTGGAACTATAGTCTGTTTGTGGAGGTGGGAGGCTGTCTAAGTGGACACTTCTGCTACATACACATTTTTCACTTTTATTAGATGTATAGATAGATAGAAGATAGATAGATTTCATATCAAAAGCATTGCATAAATTAGTATAAAACTGATAAAATAGACAGTGTGCAGGCGGCTAGATATCTTTTGACCAAAAATGGGCAACAGCAATGGCATTGTCTGTAGCCTCCAACAATTCTTCCTCTGTACGTGAGGCAAGGCATGGTGGACAAGCATACAGATGTGGAGTTGTCTGTTCTGCTCCACAGTCACACAAGGTGTGGGATTCTTTTAGGTAGTGCCATTTTGCCAGGTTGTCTTTTGATCTGCCCATTCCACTTCTCAGTCTATTCATGGACTTCCAGGTTGCCCATTCTTGGTTTGCTCCTGGAGGAAGACCCTCGTGGGGGGGGGGGGGCATCCAGTTGGGATTTCCTGTTTAGCTGTCCAGAGGGATACCCTTGCTGTTGCTGGGGGGGATGCCAAGAGGAGTGGTAGTTCTCATGAAGCTTTTCCTTGATTTGAGTCTACTGGGAGGAGGCTGGTAGCCATGTAGTGGATGGCTTTCACAGTGTTCAACCTTATTTTTCTCATATTTAGCAGCAACTTCCTGTCGCACATCAGGGGGGGCAATGCCAGCTAGCTTGTAGAGTTTATCAACAGGTGTAGGTTTAAGACACCCTGTGATTATTCTGCATCATTCGTTCAATGCTATGTTCACCTGCTTTGCATGGGCAGACCTATGCCAAACAGGGCAGGTATACTCATTTTATCTGCTTGGAACTGGATTATATGAGTCTACATTGCCATATAATCTAGTTCAAAGCAGGTAATGTGGATTTTATATAGCAGTGTAGAAGGGGTCTGTGTGCTCTCTACTCTGGAGGACACACAGGGAATGTGAAAGTTCTCCAGTGTTCACTCACCAGGAAGCGGATTTTGGATTTTAGGATGAATCTATACCTCCATATAATCCAGATTATCAAATCAGAAAATACACATCTGCTTTGAACTGGATTCTATGAGTAAACACTGCCATTTTATACAGCTATGTAGAAGGGGCTTCAATATACCTTTCTCTTCTATATCTTTGGCAGAAGGAGAAGAAGGTGATGAAGATGAGAATTCTCCTGATGGCGGAGCTGGTGGAGCTGGTGTCCCAACAACTGGTCCAGTTGGCACACGTGAAACTCAGCTTGCCCGGCGTATTACTAAAGGAAAGAAAAAACAGAGGGTGCTTTCTAACAAACCTCAAGACTTCCAGGTAGTAAAGTTCTTGGAGAACATATTGTGGTGTGATGTCTTTGAATGCTCAATGACTTTAATTTTGTGCCATTTATGAAACTAAACTTCTCCTGCACTCCCATTCATAGCTTACTTAGGAGTGAACTTCACAGAATACCATGCTACTTTCTTCTGAGTACCACCTTGGCTGCAAATTTCAGCAGGAAAGTAGATAAAGAGTAGATATACGTTTACTGTTCATTTCAGGAACATCCAGACTTTTCAGAAGTTAGACTCTTGGAAGGTTTTTTCCCCTGATGTAATGTCCTTGGCCCAAGTCCATGCTAACAAAGGAGTGGTAGGAGTAAATGTCAGGACTTCAGAGTAAAGGCTGGAAATATTTGTTTTTTTCAATATACTTAGGCCTCTTCTACACTACCATTTTCTTTGAACTGGATTACAGTATATAGTAATGTAGACTCATAAAATCCAGTTCAAATCAGATAGTAGATTATCTGCTTTGATAATCCAGATTATATGGCAGTGTAGAAGGGGTTTGAGACCATACTGGATAATCTACAGTGCTAAACTGTGCATGCAGTGTTCTCTAAACCAGGGATGAGCATCTGTGGCCCTTTAAATGCTGTTGGACTGCACATTCTATCATCCTCCTAATCTTTATTTATATTATCCCTCTCCTTTTCTTCAGACTGAGGCCCCTTCTACACTGCCATATAATCCAGATTATCAAATCAGATCATCCACATTATCTGCATTGAATTCGATTACCTGAGTCTACACTGCCATATAATCCAGTTCAAAGCAGATAATCTGGATTTTATATGACAGTGTAGATGGAGCTGCAGGGTACTTCCAGACAGGCCCTATATCCCAGTATCCGATCCCAGGTTTTCTGTTTATCCCAGATTATCTGGCGGTGCGGACTCATATAATCCAGTTATATAGAGCCTGTCTGGGATATAGAGCCTGTCTGGAATATAGAGTCTGTCTGGAAGGGCCCACAGACTCCCAAGTAGCTGGCTAGAGCAATCCAAGAACTGGATAGCTACAAGTTGGTGGTCATCTCTGCTATGAATATTCACTGTCATCTAGAGCAAATGTGAGGATTTTACAGCCTTCCAGATGTCAAGCATCTGTAAGGCCTTGAGAAGTTGTCCCATCATCCACCACCATTGGTCATACTAGGCAAAACTGGTGGGAAGTGGCAGACATTTTCCGCTTTTGATATGACTTCAGTATATGAAGGATCTTTGCACTCACATAAAGGACTTCTTCTCTATGTCAAAGAAGATGTTCCCTATGTTCTGAAATGAGTTTCCTTTCATGCCATGATACAGAAGGACATTGAGAGCAGTTCCCTATATTTTGAGCACTAGGGAAACCTAGAATTTTGCCCATTAGAACTAAAGTTTCTTGCGGATGTCCTAAATTACATAGACTGATCCTAGTGGAGGTGGATAGCTAATTATGGCAGGAAAACATTTTGTAGATGCTTACCTTATATATTCATGTATAAGTCTAGAACTTATAGCCAAAAAGCCTAGATTGACTATCCATGGGTCACTTTGAGGGCCCTTCCAGACAGCTATATAACCCAGAATATCAAGGCAGATAATCAACAATATCTGCTTTAAACTGGGCTATCTGAGTCCACACTGCCATATAACCCAGTTCAAAGCGGATAATGTGGGATTTTATAGAGCTGCATGGAAGGGGCCTGAGTAGTGTACCTTAACTATTATAAAAAGTTCTCAAGATGTTGCTGAACTACAAGTCCCAGCATCCTTCACCATTTTGCTGACAACAGCTGCTGGGAGTTGCAGTTCAAGAACACCTGGAGGCCCCTATAAGTCTTATCCCTGGATTCTATGATTAAAACCATCCATTCAATGGAAAACAAAACATAACTGATCTAACATTGCAACTCTCTTTTTCTCCTTGCTCCTGTCTTTAATTCTGCCAGATTCGTGTTAGAGTCATTGAAGGCCGTCAGTTGAGTGGGAATAACATAAAGCCTGTTGTGAAAGTACATGTTTGTGGCCAAACACACAGAACAAGAATCAAAAAAGGGAACAATCCTTTCTTTGATGAGGTAAGTCTAACACGCATTTTGAAAGACTCCCCACTGACTTTGTCTTTTAAAATCTGTTTGAGGTTTTTAATTATAAAAGTATGTTTCTGTCTTTTTAAAAAGATACCAAGGTGGCTAATAAAAATCACTAAAAAATACCAAAATAAGTTCAAAACCCTGACATAAGTCTAGATGACGTATGAAAGATATGATCTGGTGCTTGGGAGACACAGGTCCCTTCTACACTGCCATATAAAATCCAGATTATCTGCTTTGAACTGGATTATATGGCAATGTAGACTCATGGAGCACGGAGCTGCTAAACTTGTTGACCGAAAGGTCACAGGTTCGAATTTGGGGAGCAGCGTAAGCTTCCGCTGTCAGCCCCAGCTTCTGCCAACATGCAAATGTGAATAGATCAATACCTTCTGGCAGGAAGGTAATGGCGCTCCATGCAGTCCTGCTGGCCACATGACCTTGGAGGTGTCTACGGACAATGCTGGCTCTTCGGTTTAGAAATGGAGATGAGCACCACACCCCAGAGTCAGACACAACTGGACTTAATGTTAGGGGACAACCTTTACTTTTATCTTTAGACTCATATAATCCAGTTAAAAGCAGATAATCTGGATTTTATATGTCACTGTAGGTCTTACTTGTTTGAACTATAACTCCTGGAATTCTGTAGACAACATGAACGAAGCGTACATGGTATTGTTTTCCTTAAAAATTAAACTATGTAAGCCATTGTCTGATTCATGAATGAATAAACCAAAAAAGAGAAAAGTAACTGATTGTGCAGTTGTGTACCTCCCAACTCAGAAGTATTATTATTATTATTATTATTATTATTATTATTATTATTAATATGTTTATTTATTACTATGATAATAATCTCTCTTTATCTCTCCTGAAGGAGTCTCAGAGTGGCTTACAATTAAAAGTATGACCACATAATTAAAATATACAAATATGCAAACATTAAAACATAATTAAACATAACAGCATTAAAATTCACAGCTAAAATCCATTAAAACGTAGTCAAAGCTAAAAATCAGAAGCTGCACTGAATTTAGGAACTTGCTCAAAAGTAATTTAAAACAAATAGACCACTTTTGGAAATCCATAGGCTAAACAGCCACTTCATTAAATGCTTCAAATTTTGTTTTTGTTTCTAAATAAGCATTTGGGGCTTGATGTAGATCAGTGGTTCCCACCCTTTTACCAGACACCCTTTGACCAGGGACCACTCTCCAACATTAGTACCAAAAGGGTTACAAATCAGTTTTTGATCAACTTTAGAGTCGACTTGGTTATTTGGGGTGCTGATTCAGAAAATTGCATTGGATAGACCACATCAGCTCTAATTTCTGATACAGAACATATGCTATCCAGTAGTCGCCATTTGCTCACCCATAGAAAACCATATTTAATAATCTAGAGCTGATGTTATCTATCCAATGCAATTTTCTGAATCAGCACCTCAAGTAACCCCTGGAACAGGCCTAGAAACAAAAACACAAAGGTGCCCTTGTTTCCAGGCACCACATGGAATGGCTCCACTCAGGAGGAGGGAGGAGGAGGAGAAACAGCAGTCAGGTTTGTTGTTGCGCCTTTTGTGGGTAGTCAGCCTCTCTCCTTACGACATCCCATTGTCTTGGTACTATAAGACAGTTTCGCGAAACAAGTCACTCTCGCTGCAATGATGTAGTAACCGTCAGGCCGTGGACCATATTTTAGTTCTTGGGGACCACCAGTGGTCCATAGACAACAGGTTGGGAACCACTGACCTAGATTGAGAGCATAACTGTGGAAGACTGGAGGAGGTTTAGACCTTCCCTAACCTTAATAGTATGGAAAACTCCTACTATCAGCCAAATTTAGGGTGAAAGCTCTGCTTCTTGTGTTCAAATCTATGTTGTGCTTTTTTTTGGCACTTGCTTTGAAATAAATAAAAAAAACAAAGAAGACCCAGCAAGATGGGGCAAGTTTAATACAGTGTGTACAGTAATTTTAATTGTAACTATGGGCTCTCCAATCTGGAACAGGTTCTCTATAGGAAAGACACCTCATGATGAAATTCTGAAATTCAGTGCATATCTCCTGGTTCAGCTCATAACTTCAGAACATACTTTAGATCAGGAGTCCTCAAACTAAGGCCTGAGGGCCGGATACGGCCCTCCAAGGTCATCTACCCGGGCCTCGCTCAGGGTCAACCTAAGTCTGAAACGACTTGAAAGTGCACAACAACAGCAGCAGCAGCAACAATCTTATCTCATCAGCCAAAAGCAGGCCCGCACTTTCTATTGAAATACTAATAAGTTTATATTTGTTAAAATTGTCCTTCAGTTTAATTATTGTATTGTTTTTAAGTGTTTTTTGCACTACAAATAAAATATGTGCAGTGTGCATAGGAATTCATGTTTTTTTTCCAAATTATAATCTGGCCCTCCAACAGTTTGAGGGACTGTGACCTGGCCCTCTGTTTAAAAAGTTTGAGGACTCCTGCTTTAGATCTTACTTTTTTAATAGCAACTCATGGTTTGATTCTTTGTGTCTGAGATGATACTTTAATATTATTTTATTAAAATTCTTAGTAATATTTTGATGCAAATACTCTTCTGAGTTGATGGACAAAAATATTGACTGGAGCCCAGTATAGTGAATAGATAGATAGATAGATAGATAGATAGATAGATAGATAGATAGATAATCCCATGAGTTTCTGGGAAAATTGGAACTTTATGTATGACAAAAAAAAAAGATTGGCTTTAAAATATCTAAGGTATTTTCTCCTCTCGCCCCTTATCTTCACAGATTTTTTTCTACAATGTCAATATGACCCCTTCAGATCTCTTTGATGAAACAATAAGCATTCGGGTAAGAAAAAACTAGTGATGCTTACGGCTCAGTACAGTTTGCCTCACTTTTGTTGAAAGCAAGTCATATATCTTTCTCTTTCTTTCATTGGATTATAGGTGTATGACTCATATTCTTTACGTGCTGACAGTCTGATGGGGGAATTTAAGGTAAGTGGGCCTAAATTCCCCATAATATCCCATAATATGTTAATGCTGGAGAATTTGGTGCTTTTCCTACTTCATTTTAAGGGGTGCTCTCACACTACAGAAGCTGCCAATGGATTTCTAGGATTTGCACTTTCAGGTATTCATTATTGTTAGTCAGAGAGCTCTAATGCCTGTACCAATGGCAATTAAAGTATAATCATATTGTTGTAATTGTATAACATAATATGAAAAAGCCATAGACAGTTGATTCCCTACACAAGATAGCTGCCTCAGTGTGCATTCATCATGGAAAGAGGCGTGTGTGAATTGATGCTCTGTGGCCCCTTCTACATTACCATATAATTCAGATTATCAGAACCGACAATCCACATTATTTGCTTCGAACTGGATATAATCTAGTTCATATAATCTAGTTCAAAGCAGATAATCTGGTTTTTTGGGTTGTCGTAGGTTTTTTGGGCTATATAGCCATGTTCTAGAAGCATTCTCTCCTGATGTTTCGCCTGCATCTATGGCAAGCATCCTCAGAGGTTGTGACTTCACAACCTCTGAGGATGCTTGCCATAGATGCAGGTGAAATGTCAGGAGAGAATGCTTTTAGAACATGGCTATATAGCCAGAAAAACCTACAACAACCCAGTGATTCCAGCCATGAAAGCCTTTGACAATAAATCTGGATTTTATATGGCATTGTAGCAGGGGCCTCAGGCACACCACCAATGTACTCTGAATGGGGGCTGCCAAAATTGCCCCAAGGGAATGGCTGAACAGTAGGGGCCGTGGTAGCACAGTGGTACCACTCTTCCGTGGTACCACTAGCTGCAGAAAATCTGCAGAGCTGAAGTCAGCAGTTCGAAGCATGAGTCCTGGCTGTCAGCCCGAGTTTCTGCCTACCTACCAGTTCGAAAGCATGTAATGCGAGTAGCTCAAAAGGTACCACCTTGGTGAGGAAGTAAAAGTGTACCTCAAGCAGACATGCAGACATGCTGGCAACATCATCATCATCATCATCATTATTTGACCCCATGGGAGAGGAATTGAATATCTCCCCTGCTAACTGTTACTTTCCCCCTTTTTCCCACCTCTTAGCCTTCTGGTGCACTGATGTGCATCACTTCCAGAAATGAAAAAAAAAAACCCCTGCAAGCTGTTTTGAGGCCAGGTTCCATGTTAAATATAATCACCTTCCTGCCCTCAAACAGACTCCGAGCATGGCAATCTGATCATCCATGCAGTGAAAATGGGTCATAGATTTTTACTCTACCAACACAGTGTAGAACAGGGGTCCTCAAACTATGGCCCAGGGGCCGGATGCGGCCCTCCAAGGTCATTTACTCGGCCCTTGCTCAGGGTCAACTTAAGTCTGAAACAACTTGAAAGCACACAACAACATCAACAATCCTATCTCATCAGCCAAAAGTAGGCCCACACTTCCCATTGAAATACTAATTTATATTTGTTGAAATTGTTCTTCATTTCAATTATTTTATTGTTGTTAAGTGTTTTTTGCACTACAAATAAGATATGTGCACTGTGCATAGGAATTCATTCATGTTTTTTTCAAATTATAATCTGGCCCTCCAGCAGTTTGAGGGACTGTGACCTGGCCCTCTGCTTAAAAGGTTTGAGGACCCCTGATGTAGACTCTTGATCTGTTGTCATTTTGAGCAGGGCTTCAGAGCCTGATCGCCTAGAGGTTTGGGCTAAAATTGAAACCAGTACCCTATGCTAGCTTTGTATGTGTGCATGTATATGTGCCTTCAAGTTGTCCATCCCCATGGAGACCCATTTCACATAATTTTCTTAGGCAAGGAATACTCTAAGATGGTTTCTCCAGTTCTTTTCTCTGACATGTATCCTACAGCACCTGGTATTGAAGTCGAGCATGCCCCAGATCAGTATTAATTGGCAGTCTCCTATCCAAGTACTAACCAAGGCTGACCCTGTTTCTCTTCCAAGATCAGATGGGATTGATTCCCTTTAGGATTTTTTGGCTCTGTTGGATTAGACTTTCTTACTGCTTGAGAGATAACATTCTAAACCTTTCTTTCAGATTGACATTGGCTATGTTTATGACGAACCTGGTAAGTAAATGTTTTTCAGCCATAATTTGCTGTATGTTCCTACCACACACATAAATTGTTGGTATTTGTGGGATAAGGATGTCTCTTGATATTGTAGCTGTCAAGAAGATCAGCTGTAGTCCCATATTTACTAACTTAAGTTCCACTTAATTCTATGAAACGTCTGACGCCCCTTCTACACTGCCATATAATCCAAATTATCAAAGAAGATAATCCACATTATCTGCTTTGWACTGGATTATATGAGTCTAYACTGCCATATAATCCAGTTCAAAGCAGATAATCTGGATTTTATATGGCARTGTAGAAGGRGYTAGAGTAGAATWRTGCTGCYACTTATAAAAGTGATTTGATTTGTATTGTGCTTAGATAAATTATGCAGTTGGCATCAGTAACATYACAATTCTGGAAATATATGAATTGGCATGGAAAGTAGCCAGTGTAGTTGCAACAATAATGTYTRGAASAKATTTATTCTGTTAGGCTGCCTCRCAAAAAKATTTTRYAGTCCTTCRGRTTGCAAAGTACCCATGACTTTTTCCTGCCCTTTTGATCAGGTCTAAGGCYCTTTTTTACACTGCCATWTAAAATMCAGATTATYTTATTTGAACTGGATTATTTGACAGTRTAGACTCATACAATTCAGTTCAAARCAGATAATGTGTATYCTTTATCTTYGCCTATGCTGGGARCTGTAAATCACAGCATTTGGAGAACTAAAATTTCCTCACCYCACAAATAGCCATGAGGTCAGCAAAGGTTGCTGCTTAGCACCACCAYCACAACCTCATCCTTAAAMATAAGSAGYATACTTTATTYGTAGGGATTTTAAAAAYRATTTTMTSTTTSTTTKTTTYTCTCTTTTCACATWRCTTTTTTAAAMAATKGTATGTTGTTTCGRGTTTTTTWTATTAAYTTTAKGATTACCCTCCCTTCTTCCTTCCTACTTTTCTTTCATRKTATTGTYYTCCCACTTTACTTGGAAAAACAAATCTTTCCCCTTTCCYTTCCAWTTCTTTATTATTCAAAATAAAATAAAAATGTATTTAAAAACACGATTTGCTTAATTTCTTTTCTTTATCGTTTCCTTTCCGTTTCAGGCCATGCAGTCATGAGAAAATGGCTGCTTTTAAATGACCCCGAAGATGCCAATTCAAGTCCTAAAGGGTACTTGAAAGTCAGTATGTTCGTTCTTGGAACAGGAGATGAACCACCAGTAAGTTTAAGAGATATTTATATTCTACTAATATGCACCACTGATTACTTCTAGAGTGAGGAACTTTTGGGGTTCCAGATGACGTGGGACTGTAGCACCTACCAGCCACAGCCAGTAGGTCTAATGATTGATAGGGGATATAGTCCAAGAGTATCTGGAAGACTAAACATCCTCAATTCTGGGATCTATTCATGCAGATGAATGTGTCAGAATTTCTTTTGGTAGCCGAAAGAACTAGAATGATTGAAGCTGCTTACTACTATACATTTCTTTTCCCTAGTTCTGCTTGCTCCACTATTTTCCGCCTTATTGCCACAGTGCTTCTCTTCCATGGCCTTCTCCATCACTGCCTTTCCAAGGTATTGCTTCTCTTAACTTTTCCCTGTTTCTGATCTTTCGGGTGTTGCTCCTCCTTGCTCAAAATGCTGCTTTTTTTTCCTTGCAGTTCCCATTAAGAAAGCTGTTTATATGTTGCAGGGAAATGCACATCATTTCTCCCAGTACATTCTTATAAATGTCCTTTGTGATGTATTTGTGATGTTTTGTTAGGTATTGGTTTCCCGATGGATGTAAGCAATGGTACCTGTCAGTCCCGGGGAGTGCCAACGTAGAGGGTGGGGGGAGCTAGGGTTCACCCCCCCCCAAAAAATTTCAGGATAAAAAAAACCTGGTTTACTCATGAATTTTAACTGGTTAACCAAATCCCCATGCTAAGTGTATGAGATGCAAAAAATTAAGAGTCCCTCCAGAACTGCAAGCACTATCTCAAGCAAATATTGACAATTTATTCACACTGTCATTACTTGCAGCAATAGCTGATGTCTGCATGCAGAATTGCTACAGTATGCTGAGGCACGCTGAATCCTCCCTCACCAAAAAGATACTCTGAAACAAAAAATACAAGAGTTGGGGTGTTGTGTGGTTTCCGGGTTGCGTGGCCATTTTCTAGGAGCATTTTCTCCTGACATTTCGCCTGCATCTGTGTCTGGCATCTTCAGATCTTCTGAAGAAGCCCGCCACAGATGCAGGAGAAACATTAGGAGAAAATGCTGCTAGAACATGGCCATACACCCTTTCTGGCACCAATGGCTGCTCTGGCCGGAGCGGGGACAGAGGGGAGCAGAGGACACTTCCATCTTGTCTTCTGCCTATATCATCACTTGGGAGGCCCCTCCCTCTTCTGGCACCAATGGCTGCTCTGGCTAGAGCGAAGAGAGGAGAAGACACTTCCATCTTGTCTTTACTAATAATATAATATAGTATATTGTATATACATACAATATTTATAATATTATAATGTAATACAGTATAATACTAGTAATAATAATTCAATATCATAATTATAATTATATATTTACATTACATGTAATATTACTAATAATATTACAATATAACGGCATAGTGCAATATAGTAATATATACTGATATTGTACTATGCTAATAATATAATATATTGTATGAAAATATATATTGTATGCCGCTCTGAGTCCCCTTCGGGGTGAGAAGGTCGGCATATAAATAAATAAATAAATAAATAAATAAAAACACACAACACCCCAGTGATTCTGGCCATGAAAGCCTTCAACAATACAATACAAGAGTTGTTGGAGAGATTTTGCTGTATTTGCTAAGAGTTAATGTTAATATAACCAATTCTGTCTTCAACAGGCGGAAAATAGAGAACGGGATAATGAAAACGACGATGTGGAAAGTAACCTGTTGCTACCAGCTGGGATAGTCCTCCGATGGGTCACTTTCATTCTTAAGATCTACAGAGCAGAAGATATTCCTCAGAGTATAATTCTTTTTCTTTAATTCCTGAGCTGTGTTTATTAAAATGAACAATGCTTATAACTCATTAATCCCAAAGATTTAAAAATAATGTAGAAATTGAGGTGGGATGTGGAAATGGAGACAGCATAGGCCAGTGATCCAGCTCCAGGGGAGCTGTATGCTGATTATGATTATTGCTGGAGAAAAGTAAATAAAAATAGGTGAAAGTAGGGAGGGAGAATGCAGTGAAGCATTTGAAATCTTGAATGGAAGCATTCTGCATAGCAGTGTTGTAACAGGGCTAGAGTTGTAATATATTGATTAAATTGCAATTTAGCAATAATTACTGCAAGGCTGTATATTCATAAAACGTACACATTTTAATTGCATGTGTTCTTTTCACTTTGATTTCTGCTCAGTGGATGATGCTTTTTCCCAGAGAGTCAAGGAAATATTTGGAGGAGAAGCAGACAAGAAAAACCTAGTGGACCCATTTGTGGAAGTTTGCTTTGCTGGGAGAAAGGTATTCTGTGCTAATAACAGGAAATGTACAATTGAATATCCATTGAATTCAATTGTATTGGATTCAATTACTGGATTATTTAGAAATTTCGTTTGCGATAAAGAGATAGCTCATAGATTTTTTCCTGTTATGATATAATATTTTGGTAATATAATATTTTAATAATTAATGAGAAAATGAAGCTTCTGTTATTTTGCTGATATTATTAATTGAATTTAATATTATGTTCTCAAGAGTAGTGTAGTACCAATAAACTTTACACATTGAACATATAAAACCAACCTCGATAATTGGATAATTAACTTATAAACTGTAAAAGAAACACCTAGAAAAGCAATAAGAAAATCAAGGAATCTGTTGTCAAAGGTACTCTGTAGAATGCATCCGATACTCCAGATATTGTTGGATCACAAATACAAGTGCATCTATACTATAAAATTAATACAGTTTGACAACACTTTAGCTGCCAAGGCTCTATGCTATATAATAATGGGAGTTGTGGTTTTTACAATACATTAAGAGAGACAAGCCCCCACATTGGCAGTGTTTAGGAAGAGCCTGAAAATGTGGCTGTTCCAGTGTGCCTTCCCTGAATAAAGGAAACAATCCCCTGCAAAATATCCTGAGAAGCACTTTAATTACCCGTTGGGTTATTCTCTATTTTTCGTTTAAAACCCTCCTACTAGATGCATCCTACCTCTGTTCATGCCCAGGGATTATTTTTAAAGTTTTAACTCATAGAATCATAGAATCAAAGAGTTGGAAAAGAGTGGATGTAGCGTACCTGGATTTCAGTAAGGCCTTCGACAAGGTCCCCCATGACCTTCTGGCAAGGAAACTAGTCCAATGTGGGCTAGGCAAAACTACGGTGAGGTGGATCTGTAATTGGTTAAATGGACGAACCCAGAGGGTGCTCACCAATGCTTCCTCTTCATCCTGGAAAGAAGTGACGAGCGGAGTGCCGCAGGGCTCCGTCCTGGGCCTGGTCCTGTTCATCATCTTTATTAATGACTTAGATGAAGGGTTAGAAGGCATCTGGCCCAGGCATAGGCTTTTAAATCCTTCTGTGTTATTGTCTAGTTGTGAGTTATATTAACTGTATTGTTTATTTTGCTTATTTCCTGTTGTTTTTATTGATGTGTTGTTGGGCTTGGCCTCATGTAAGCCTCTCCGAGTCCCTTGGGGAGATAATGGCGGGGTATAAATAAAGTATTATTATTATTATTATTATTATTATTATTATTATTATTATAAAAAGTGGTATCATGTGTCTTTAGCTTAAAAAGCCAATGGGATTTTGGCCTGCATAAATAGGAGTATAGTGCCTACATCCAGGGAAATCATGCTACCCCTCTATTCTGCCTTGGTCAGACCACATCTGGAATCACACTGTGTCCAGTTTCTGGTTCATTGCAATTGAAGAGAGATGTTGACAATAATAAATAATAATAAACTTTATTTATATCCCCCTTCATTTTGCCAGAGGGGACTCAGGGCGGCTAACATGAGGCCAAGCCCAAAGATATGATAGAATCATAGAATCAAAGAGTTGGAAAAGACCTCATGGGCCATCCAGTCCAACCCCCTGCCAAGAAGCAGGAATATTGCATTCAAATCACCCCTGACAGATGGCCATCCAGCCTCAAAGCTTCCAAAGAAGCTTTGAGCTGTTTAAAAGCCTCCAAAGAAGAAGCCTCCACCACACTCCTGGGCAGAGAGTTCCACTGCTGAACAGCTCTCACAGTCAGGAAGTTCTTCCTCATGTTCAGATGGAATCTCCTTTCCTGTAGTTTGAAGCCATTGTTCCGCGTCCTAGTCTCCAGGGAAGCAGAAAACAAGTTTGCTCCCTCCTCCCTGTGGCTTCCTCTCACATATTTATACATGGCTATCATATCTCCTCTCAGCCTTCTCTTCTTCAGGCTAAACATGCCCATGTATGTTCAACTACTCCAGCCCAGATACATGCTAAAAGTGCTCAAGGGCCTCCCCACAAATGTATTTTCTTATTTATTATGGGAATTTTAGATCCAGGGAAGTCATGCTACCCCTCTATTCTGCCTTGGTCAGACCACACCTGGAATCACATTGTGTCCAATTCTGGGCACCATCATTGAAGGGAGATGTTGACAAGCTGGAATGTGTCCAGAGAAGGGTGACTAAAATGATCAAGGGTGTGGAGAACAAGACCTATGAGGAGTGGCTTAAAGAGCTGGGCATGTTTAGGCTGCAGAAGAGAAGGCTGAGAGGAGACATGATAGCCATGTATAAATGATGTGAGGAAGTCATAGGGAGGAGGGAGCAAGCTTGTTTGCTGCCCTGGAGACTAGAATGCAGAGCAATGGCTTCAAACTACAGGAAAGGAGATTCCACCTGAACATTAGTAAGAACTTTCTGACTGTGAGAGCTGTTCAGCGGTGGAACTCTCTGCCCCAGAATGTGATGGAGGCTCCTTCTTTGGAGACTTTTAAACAGAGGCTGTATGGTCATCTGTCAGGGGTGCTTTGAATGCGATTGTGCTGCTTCTTAGCAGGGGGTTGGACTGGATGGCCCATAAGGTCTCTTCCAACTCTGTGATTCTATGATTCTCTACCAAAAAGTCCTGATGCTTAAACAAAATTACATCTTTTAAAAAATCCCAAAAACCTACTACTTAGTTACATCTATTTATGCCTGAATACATTTAGAAAGGTAGAGTGAGTGCTGGCTTGTATATTTAAATAATACTTTTCTTTGCTTGGGGATTATCTTTTTTGCAGGTTCGCACAAAAATAATTGAAAAAAATGCTAATCCGGAGTGGAATCAACTTGTCAATCTCCAGATCAAGGTTTGTTGCTTGCGGCACCAGCACACTACTATAATATGTTTTGTTTTAGAAATAAGACGTTGATTAATTAATGCTGGTCTTCTATTTTTCTAGTTCCCTTCAATGTGTGAAAAAATAAGGCTGACGGTGTATGACTGGTGAGTTCCGTCTTGTTATGTATACAGTCACATACAAAACAACAATTATAGTGCCAAGAAAAAGTGTTTTGACATAAGGTGCCAACATATGTTCATTACTAGCATTGTACAAGCAGCCACAGACTTAATTAAATTCTATTTACAGAGAGGTGTTCAGTTTATTTGTAATAACCATTAGTAATAGTTTGGTGATTTCGTTAATTGCCGTTGTTACAGAGCATGACAAACTCCCATGAGTTCTTTGCGCTCATTAGCTACTCAGCTGGATTCATTATACAGATCATTAGAATGGTTTTGTGGTTGATTATGTCCATTAGGCTTACTTCCAGCAGGGTTGGTCGGGCAGCAGGGGGAGAAGGGAATACAGGAGAACGGCAGTCCAAAAAGATACTTTAAAAGTTACTAAAAGATACATACACTTCATTTTACCAACCTTTTGGGAAATGCACATTGTGCCATCTGATGGCCAGCAATGGAAATGAAATGTAAAACTCCGTGCCTAGCAGTAGGGCAGTAATAGCCCTTCTTTTCCCCTAATATTTATAATGAGGTCATTTAATAAATACAATAAATAATACTAGGAAAAGGTAAAGGTTTTCCCCTGACATTAAGTCCAGTCGTGTCCAACTCTGGGGGTTGGTGCTCATCTCCATTTCTAAGCTGAAGAGCTGGTGTTGTCCATAGACACCTCCTAGGTCATGTGGCAGGCATGACTGCATGGAGCGTCATTACCTTCCTACTGGAGTGGTACCTATTGATCCACTCCCATTTGCATGTTTTCGAACTGCTAGTTTGGCATAAACTGGGGCTAACAGCGGGAGCTCACACTGCTCCCTGGATTCAAATCTGCAACCTTTTGATCTGCAAGTTCAGCAGCTCAGTGGTTTAACTGACTGTGCCACCGGGGGCTCCGTAAATAACACTATGTAGCAAAGTTTTCTGTTCCTGGTTTAGAAATATTATTTCCCATTTAATTGTGCGCTACTTACGTTGAAAGTAGTTGTTACATTCCAGAAACCTTGTTTTTCTTAAGCTTAAGAACTATGGAAGAATTAAAAGAAATAGATGGAGAAATAGGCTGGTTTCATTATCTACAGGCTAAAGAATATTTTAAGGAAGATCAAAAAGTAGGTTTCAACAAAAATGATACCTGCTGGGATGGAAAATTAAAGAAATCCCTTCCAATGAGGAATGGATTAAAAAAATAGTAGAATTTATGGACTTGGATAGACTCTCCTATCTATTAAAGGATCAGTGTAAGGAAAAACAAATTAACTGGAACCAATTAAAAGAATACCTAAGAGAGAAAAACAAACTCAATATATAATATCAAGTATTAGGAGTTAAACTGAGCATGGAATAAATGACAGACCATAAGAAGATGTATAAAACTCAACGACATTTCCTCTGTGGACTGAACAGAAAGTCATCTATAGTCTTTTTTTTAATTCTTTTTTTTTAGTGTGGATTGCCCCTATCTGGTATTCCCTACCCATACCCTCCCCCCCCCCCACACTATCTTGCCACTCTATTAATTTCCTACTTTCCTACTTTCCTGTCACTCCGATTGTTCTCCCTCTTTCATTGTTAAAGGAAAAGCTTACAATAAAAAAAATATTGAAACAGAAACCTTGTTTTTGTGGCTATCACAAACTATTGGTTGAGACTCTAGGAGATACTCATTGAAAAACTAGAGCAAAATGTGCTGCAGGATGCCCACAAAAACAAAGTTTTTGCAGTGTAATAAATTTTTCCCCATGTTTTTATGATAGAACCAATTGGGAAATGACATTTATAATCCAGGAACACAAATCGTGTTACATATTGTAATCAAAGTAGATGTACCAAGTAATAATCACAGGAGGAGACCCAACAGTAATGTATATATCATTCACACACACAGCATTCACAATATTCAAAAATGGTACATTGTGAAAATAAATCTGTGTAGGTTGAGTTATTTAAAATGCTTGGGACAAGAATTATTTCAGATTTTGGGTTTTGGAATACTTTATATGTATATACAGACAAACTGAGATATACTGGAACCCAAGTTTAAACAAGAAACTCATTTAGGTTCCGTATATACCTTATACACGTAGCTTGAAAGTAATTTTATGCAATATTTTAATAATTTTGTGCATGATTTTATTTTATTTATTTATTTGCCATATTTATACCCCGGCCTTTCTCTACCCCAGCAGGGGGACTCAAGGCAGCTTATAATGGCACATACACAGTGCCTCAAAACAACAAATTCACCTTAAAATAGTTTAAAATTACAACATATTAGACAGCGTTAAAATACATTCAAAGTTATAAACATGAAACAAAGCCCTCTTCTACACTACCATATAATCCAGATTATCTGCTTTCAAATAAGATAACCTGCATTTTATATGGAAGTGTAGAAGGGTGCAAAGTTTGTGTATTCAAACCATCAGGGAGCAAAGGTGTCACTGTCTCCTCAACCTACGTGGACCATTTCACATTTTGAAGCATTTAGGCTTTCTGAATAAGGGATACTCAATCTGTACTTGTGATTATACTGTTCCATTTGTTTGCAATATTTTTACACAGGGATCGGCTTACAAGAAATGATGTTGTGGGCACCACGTATTTAAGCCTCTCTAAAATTGCTGCTTCTGGTGGAGAAGTTGAAGGTAAACTAGTCTGTCCTTAGTCTCTCTTTCTTCAAAGGAGTCTTAGCAAGCACAGGATGAAATCAAGTGGACGGAAGGGCAAAAGGATAAATAAATAGCACTTAGTACAATAACAGTGCAGTACGCAGTGCCTGGGCATGTCGTGTAACAAACCTTTGTGTTGCAATTGTATCAGTGATTGTGGAATTTTTTCATGCACTTTTCAAGGATTGCTTGAGACCTTACTACAGCTCCTTCTACACTGCATATGTTAGATTATCTGCTTTGAACTGGACAGTACGGCACTGTAGACTCATATAATCCAGTTCAAAGCAGATAATGTGTATACAACAGTGTAGAATGGAGCTCATTTGAGAACCACAGATCTGACTTGATCTTGTTAGCTGCTTTAATGCCTTCATGGTGTTGGTGGGTACTATTTTCAAAAGCCTTTGATATGTTACTGAAATACCTTCATTTACAGTAGTGGTGAGAGCTACCACTGCATTTGACAAACACAGAGTAGGGGCCCTTCCACACAGCCCTAGATCCCAGAATATCAAGGCAGGAAATCCCACAATATCTGCTTTGAACTGGGTTATCTGACTCCACACTCAGATAAGGTGGGATTTCCTGCCTTGATATTCTGGGATATAGAGCTGTGTGGAAGGGCCCTAGGTATGGATGAAAAACCCAAAACAAGATTCTAAGTACCTATTCCCACAGAAGTCCAAACTAATAAAAGGCACACACTCTAAAATTACAACTGACCTTCTAAAATATCTTTAAATGCTTTGTACTGACATTACAAGTGAAAATGTTAGGTGGTTTGTCTCTACTTAGGAAACTTTTTCTGCAAAGAACCATGCTGGAGCAAAATATTATGATTCATTGCAAAACCTAGATTTTTCAGAATGTCATTGAGTAGTTTGCTAACCTGGTTAAACTGTACACATTGTTTTAATAATTTTATAAACATTATTATTATTTTTTTAGCATGGCTACCTTTTTATTAGCCACATTCAGTCAGCAATATGACATATATTTCTAAATAAAATAGAATCACATGAATACATGTATAATTAATAAGCAGACATTCATATCTCATGCTATAATTGTAAATGTTGAGAACATAGTCTTTGATCTGCAGTATAATCAAATCAATTACAATAATAATTACAATAATTACAATAATAATAATAATAATAATAATAATAATACCATCTCCCCAAAGGTACTCGGGGCAGCTTACATGGCACCCAGCCTAATCAACAAAGTTTTAAAAAAGTAACACACTAGAATGCATGACATCAATTTAAAACAACATAAAAACAACATTATAACAATATATAAAACAAGCATCCAAACCAACAACAATAGCATAATGCAAGTCTCAATATTAGTGGGTGGATTGGTGCACTACAATTCAGAGGATAGGGCTAGTGAGTAAAGTGCATAGGTCGTATAGCACCATTAAGGATAAGAGCAGTAGAAGGGTCATTCTAACTTTGGATACAACAGTAGTAAAGTGTGTGGCCAAGATTTTGAATCCCAGCTGTCTTTTATTTTGCGTGTGGCTGGATCTACACAGCCATATAATCCAGATTATCAAATCAGATAATAAACATGATCTTCTTTGAACTGGATTATATGAGTCTACACTGCCATATGACCCAGTTCAAAGCAGATAATCTGGATTTTATATAGCAGTGTAGATCCAGCCTGTCAGTATGTTTTCATTAGCTGGTTTCTGGTTAACATTGCTTTCATGTTGCAGTACTTTTTGCATATTTCATTCATTATATCCTTTCAGACAGAATTTCTTTTTTGGAGGATCAGTTCCTTGTTGAGAATGTTATTGTTTTAAATGAAAACCAAGTTTCTTTCCTGTAGTAATAGCCATTGTTATGTGCCATAAAAAAATCCAAACATTTAATCAGAAATTATTACTTCTGTCATATAAATTGTGTGGTAGGTTTGCCATCTGATTTAGGAAAATAATTCTCCTGAATTGCAGAAATCATTTTGGGTTTTGTTTTAAATCTGAAGTTATTTCAATGAATGATTCTTGCTAATAGCATCCAAATCTGCCTATCCAGTTCAGTATATTATTCAACTTTTTGCTCACAACCCAATCAATGTATGTTTTTATATCTTCTGCTGTTTTGGAAATCTGGTATGAAATCAACAGAAGCATTATGTGATTATCCATTTCATCTTATTTTAATCAGTCACCCATTTAATACCATATGATTTGTAGAATCTGCATGAACCACTATCCAATATTTATCATTTACTCTTCATACGAGCAGTGAACATTTCATGGTATTGTCTCTGTGATTTGAGGTGTGGTTGATGTGACAGGATTTTAATTGGCCATTTCTGGAAAGCTTTCCACACTTGTGAAGAATAAGTAAGATTGGGTTGCTTTGAGTTTTCTGGTCTGTATGGCCATGTCCCAGAAGCATTCTCTCTTGATGTTTCACCCACATCTATGGCAGGAATCCTCAAAGGTTGTCACAACCTCTGAGGATTCCTGCCATAGATGTGGGTGAAACGTCAGGAGAAAAATGCTTCTGGAACATGGTCATACAGCCCGAAAAACTCACATCAACTCCGTGACTCCAGCCATGAAAGCCTTCGATAACACATAAGTAAGATTCCTCGGATGTTCCTTAATGGACCAATTTTGTGTAACAGTTTATTTCAATATGGTTGCTTCCAGATAAGTTGGATAGCAAATCCCATTATCAGGTATTCCAACATGTACATAGGGTTGAAGGAGGCTGCAGAATGATAGCATAATATAGTATCATCGCTTTCTGCAATCTGCCCCCCTCCCCTCCCAAAAAACCTAATTTACTCATGCATTTATTTTCCTATGAAAACCCAGAACTTATTTATTTGAACAGGAGCCACAGTGGCACAATGAGTTAAAACCTTGTGCTGGCTGAACTGCTGACCTGAAGGTCGACGGTTCAAATATACAATATGGGGTGAGCTCCCCTGTCAGCTCCAGCTTCCCATGCGGGGAGATGAGAGAAGGCTCTCACAGGATGGTAAAAACATCCTGGGCAATGTCCTTGCAGACTGCCAATTCTCTCACAGCAGAAGCGACTTGCAGTTTCTCAAGTCACTTATGACACGAAAAAAATTATTTGAGCAGATGAATTCTCAATCTGAGTGTTGTGTTTCCTTCAGTTTATCCTGAGAGGTTACCTGCTGCAAAGAATGTGCAAAGCTGGCATTCTTGATCTTATGGAGTTGCCCTTGTCTGTGATTTGATGACTTTCTCATAATATCCTTACAATGGTGACAATAATAATGTCCTATTATGTGGCAACATTCTGACAAAGCCTGTTGGTATCATTCACTCATCCAAAGCACATTTTTGTGTATAGAGGTATTCTTAGTGCTAGGCCAGTCCTTTTTTTAAAAATCACAGATGCTCACCTCATTTAAGACTCTCTTCAATCAGAATGTTTTATTTGTTTGCTATACATATGTCATTCACCAGTCAAATAATCTCTTGTCTTTTTACATGTAGAGCTTTCATCTTCGGGCGCTGGGGCTTCACCATATGAAGGTTCATAATCATATTTTGGAATGTAGCATGATTCTCTATTCCTTATCATAGCTAATATTTATTTTCATGTGTTCCATTCAAACCATATTAATGTGTATAGCTGCCATCATTCTTTGACATTTACAGTAATAATTCTGTAAACCTTGGGGAGCAATTGTCTTTGGCTTTTGCATGGTTTTATTTCAGAGTTTCTAGCATGTAAATCTTCATTTCAAATGCTATTTTGCATTACTTATGATATACTAAGGTAAAAGGAGCTGTGCTTGGTGGAGGTCTTAATGGCTTTAGTTCAATGACAGTTTATGAAAATGTTTAATGAAAATTGACATAGTGTATGTTTGTAAACACTGGCCTTTCCATCAATTTCTTTTCCTATTTTTTCAAGTATTTCTATTAATATAGATGTCATAGAAATGAATGCAACATAAAGGAACTGTTCCTGAAAAGTACTACATAGGGCCCTTCCAGACAGCCATATAATCCAGACAATCAAGGCAGAAAATCCCACAATGCCTGCTTTGAATTGGGATATCTGAGTCCACACTGCCATATATTCCAGTTCAAAGCAAAAAATGTGGGATTTTATTCAGTTGTGTAGAAAGGGCCATAGTTTCTCTGTAGAATTTATTCACTTTCTCAGTCCATATTTAAAAGTTGGCACAGATTACCAAGCAAAACTTAAGAAGAAATTTTGTGCCAGGCAGAATATTTTCTCATTTCTGTGTTCAGTTCCACTTAAAATTCAAATGAAAAACGGTGATTACACATAAACAAAATAAACCATGCAATCTTGATCCTCAGTAAACTTTTTTTTCAAATTACAGAGAAGTAGGGAATACGAATTTGGTTGATTCATTAATAAAGATGTATAGATTTGATTTCTTCCTCACTATTTGGAAGAACAGTTGTAGTGTTGATTTTAGGACGCTCAACTGTTTAACATTGGATGATTCATTCAAATCAGACGGTCAGGTGCAAATAGGGTGGTTCTTGGGATAACCTGGTGCAAATAAGGACAAAGTTCCTGCACTTTCAATGGTTGCATAAAAGAGGGAACTGGGGCATGTGTCACTTGTCACACAAGCAAGACATTCCTTCTGCACTACACCAATTAAAGTTGCAGAAACTCTGTCTTTTGTGTTTAAATCTGGCAATGTTCTCCTTTACTATAAAACCCCATGCAATAAAAGCTTTTAATTATCACAACAGTGTGCTACTGTGGACTATTAACAATTTATCTGTGATCTGTACCAGTAGTTTAGCTACAATCTGCTCATATATGTGAAAATCGTTGACTTCTGTTTTCACCAATAATAGTCTGTTTGAACAGTTGTGATCGTAACACTATGTAACACAATTTTTGTTCCTGGGTTATAGATGTCATTTCCTAATTGGTTCTATCATAGAAACATAGGAAAAGTTTATTAAACTGCAAAAACTTTGTTTTGGCGGGACATCCTGCAACACATTTTGCTATAGCTTTTCAATGAATATTTCATAGAGTCTCAACCAAAAACAGCCACAAAAACAATTTTTCTGGAGTGTAACAGTTACTTTCAAAGTAAGTAGTTCACAATGAAACAGAAATAACACTTTCAAACCAGGAACAGATTTTTTTCCAAATTATGTTACATTTTCAAATTATGTAACAGTTACTTTCAAAGTAGATAGTTCACAATGAAACAGAAATAACA